AATATACAGCAAGCCATTTATAAATTTTGTTTTGTGTTATTTATTTATGTGTTTGTTATATCTACGGAGACTTGAGAGACTCTACGTGGTGATTTCTTGTAACCGTGAACGAATCAAAAGACGAGATAAGATTAACGAGAACATTTATTAGCTTACATACATCTGACTTAGATTTTACACAAATTGAGAAATTATACCCCGACTCACGTGAATTTGACTTACGCGGTTATCGCTCGGTCCCACCTATCGCATAAGTTCGGAGTATTACTGTATATGCAAGAGTGTTAGTATTAGATACAGTAGAGCGTCGTTTATCCGAATCAATTGGGGACTGGGGTTGTTCAGAATATCGATGTTTCAGATAACCAATTATGTACGAAAAAATATATTAATTTATCCCGTGTTGAAATTTTTCTCCATTGCGTGTCACTTTGCATTGAATTTTCATCAATGTTGAGCCTAACGAAGACTATTGTATCGTTAAAAATTATTTTTTTATTTTGTACAAACAAAATAAATATATTGAAAAATATAAAAACAATAAAAAATTATACTTCAGAAGTTAATTTAGTATCAAAAACGTAAAATATTTGAGTAACCGAAGACATAGCCAAAGATTACAGCACCACAGCACTGGCAAAAATTTAAATTTGTCGACTGGAATTCCTTTGGATAACTGACCTTCGGATAAACGACACTCTACTGTATTTGTATCTTGATAATCATTATTGGGCTTCAATTTGAAAAAATTGTAGACCTATAAATTCCCACTGTTGTCTGTCTGTTCTTCCTTATTCTCAAGAATGATGATAGATATATGAAAGTTGAGACCAGATATGGAAAGCTTAGGGGCAGGAGACTCCAATTAACTGTATATATAAACTTCTGGTCTAGATCAGAAGTCATATGATTTCAATTCAAAAATTTTACCCAGAACAGAGTTACTTAGATGACTGCATGATTCTGTTGTTTTCAGGAAAAGTGTGAGGTACAGAGGTAAGACACTAATAATTTGAGATTAAAAATTGCAGTCTGGTATTGCAAAGATATAATTTTTTGCTTGTATTTTAAACATTCCTCATATATTATTTTCAATATTGTTTCCATCTTAATACATCAACTTTTGAGGGATAAGTCACACAATCTGAGAAGGCTAGTTATAAACAGAACTAGAGTGATATGATAAACTTATTTAATGATATATTAAATACGTTATGATATGGTGAAAATAAATAATGAAATTTTCGTACTTAACAAACCAAAATAATAATTAGCTGTTTCTTCTTTCTTTTAGTTTGTTTTAGTATCAGGACAAAGTTAAATAGAACTTATGAAGTGAAAATTATTGTTAAATCAGACTTGATTTTTTTAATTGTTGACAGTTGCAACTTGATATCATATGATCATATTAAAGTAATTTTCTATTATACTTTAATTAATGTTAGTGACCTGAAATTAAAATGTATAATATTAGGTATAAAGTTGCAAATGTGTAGAAAAGAATTATAAAATATCTTACATTAATTAATTTTTCTATTGTTTAAAGTATCACATTAATTAACATTGGTTAATATATCCTGTTGAGGTGTTGTTCTGCATCTTTTTTTAATTATATACTTGTAATATGTTACTAAATTAGAAAATTGTAAATGAGTTGAAAGTACATGTTTTTCAAACTGGTCAATCCATAACTGGAAATGGCTAGCCATTTTAGACTTCAGTCTTATCATGTATTATATGTATAGTACATAAACACAAACATGCATATATAAACTTAAATAATTTCATTGATAAAGAAATGCATACATTAAATACACCTCAGAAACTGTAACAATATATAATAAAATAAATTACATTTCTGTTCTTTACCTGAAGAGGGCCACTAAAGAGGCCAAAAATGTTAGTTTTCTCTTAGAAATTACCTGCTGGAAAAGAGTGAAAAGTGAAAAAAGTTATTTTATGAAATGCATAGTATTTATGATATGAAGCAGCAAAGTTTCATAACATTTATGCTATCTTTGTAAATAACTAAATTTAATTAATTAATTAATTAATTATTGCTTATTTCAGGAAGCCAACTTTTTATTAAATGTTTTCAGTCAAAACTTGATCATCCTCAGCTTAAAATCTTAGATTTGTATGATTTTGACTGAAAACATTTAATAAAAATTTGATCTCCTGAAATTGATAAAATTTAATTATGAAATAGCATATCTAGTAAACTCATGTACAGTGAGTTTTCTTTTTGTACATAAAATACATTAAATTGAAATACACAAATTAGGAAGATACATTGCATGATCTCAAAAAATGATTAAATGAATTTGAGAATGTTTTTCATTTATTCTTTTATTAAGTGTTTTTAAAATCATATTATCAATTAATGTTTAAACATGTTCTTCAAGAAACCTTAGAGTTACTTTTTGGTCTCTTCTCACTTAGAACAGAATGTTCTTATTTAAGGAGCAGAATGCTCCTTAAATAAGAATTACTAACCATGAAATTCTCCATCCAATTCATAAAGTTTTTTTTTCCTGTTTGATAGTCTTCAAAGGCTATAGTCAAGATTATGAAAAGCTCTTTTTGTCATTTTATTTGTAAGTTGAGGCTTGGCTTCTGCCAAGCCTCTACTTACAAATTAATGTTGGAAATAGATTGTTTTAATTGAATGATCAAAGTCATTTCAACTCTAATGTTTAATTTTTTTTCTTTTGACTATCTAGGCCAAATGTTGGGCCATCCTAATGCTATTCTTAAAAGATATAATTATCATCAACAGTAGTCTCTATATATATTATAAAACTGAAGACACAGTTTCTTCTATACTCTGTTCTTACATTGTTATGGTATTTCATTTCATGTAGTCTGAGTGATTCTGTAGAGAATTAAGTTATCAAGTCATGTAACTTCAAAATTTTCTAGTAAATAAAATGTAAATGTGGAAATATGAGTAATAACATATACAAGTCACTAATAATTAATTTAAATATTCAAATGAGCAGCTGTATTCAGGCTAATTAATTAACCATAATGTAGTACGATTAAACTCAGTCTGTTCATTTGAATATCTGGAAATACAGTAGAGCGTCGATTATCCGAAAGAATTCCAGTCGGTAAATTTAAATTTTCGCCAGTGCTGTGGCGCTGCAATCTTTGGCTATATCTTGGGCTACTCAAATATATTACGTTTTTGATACTAAATTAACTTCTGAAGTATAATTTTTTATTGTTTTTATATTTTTCAATATATTTATTTTGTTTGTACAAAATAAAAACAAATTTTTAACGATACAATAGTCTTTGTTAGACTTAACATCGACGAAAATTCAACGCGAAGCGACACGCAACAGAGAAAAATGTCAAGATGGGATAAATTAATATATTTTTCGTACATAATCGGTTATCCGAAACATCGACCTATCGAACAACCCCAGTTCCCAATTGATTCGGATAATCGACGCTCTACTGTATATGTTGTGTAACTTCAAAATTGCATAAAAATACCATTGAAAAAATCTCACTGTAATTGCATTAGTAAATACTAAACAAATTAATTTGTTTAATTGAACTAGAACTAAACAGATGTTGGTTTTATTGGAAAAATTTATAAAATGGGTTACTTTTTAATCTTGTAATTTTTATATTTAGTACCTTAAAATCATGGTTGAATTAATTTAGTTGAAAATTGCTGTTCTTAATTTGTGTTTTTTTAGCAAGATATAAAATTACAGCAAGTCTTCCCTTTCCCTTAACATTGTTAATAGGTTCTTGGAAACTGTGACATTAAGTAAAATGCTATACTGTATAATGCCACTAGCTTTACTGTAAGTTAAAAGATATAATGAGAATTAAGCTCCATTGCATATTTCTGATTGCAGAAATATCCCAAATTTCTAAGTTATGACACTAGTATGAAAGATTGAAATAAATTTGAGCTCTACATATCATATTTAAGGTAGATTGATGAAAAAGTAGCAGTAATTATTTATCCAGTTTTGGGAATCACTGAGTGGTGGTGGTTGTAGCAGTAGTAGTTAATCACCTATCACTGCTGCAACCACCATTACTCACTGATTCCCAAAATTGGGTAAATAATTACCTTTACTTTATAGGGAGATAGATTAAATCTTTGTCACTGGAGATGAGTATAGATAAATAATAAAGAATAAATGTTTTGCAAAGGAAAAATTGTGGGGCCCATCAGTGGTTGAGTAGATGAAATCAGTTCCATGCATGGAAAGCTAGAACTTCTTTAAATAAGTTTCACAAAACCTTTCACTTTTTTTCTATCCGTTTCTTAATCCATAAGAGGACAAATGTTTTTGCCCATTTTAAATTGCCTTCTTCAGGTTCTATAACATTGGAACGTCAATTAACAAATATTCAAATGACGTCATTGTTTTAAAAGACAGACATGGATAAAATTGAAATAAAATTAACAAATAGATGTGTAAATGGATAACAAAATAGAAGACTACTGCCACTAAGATTAAATAAGTAGATTAAATAACTAGATAAATTGAGAGAAATGCTAACAAGTTCGCGACAAATTTGATGAGATTTAAAATGTCACATTTCATTTGAGGAGGATGGATTAGTCCATTTTATTTAAAAGGTTATCGAGGAGTGATCGCCAAGCGGTGGAGAGCAAGTCGGCATCTTTGCTGTTAATACAATTATCTTTGGGGGATTTTGCAAAGATTTCTAGTGTTTCTATTGTTGTAAGTTTGTTACTATCAAGCATATCAAGCATTGGTTTTAAAATTTTAGCCTCTTTCATTTGGCCGTTATATTCAGCTCGCTTGCAAATTGCTAGGGTGGTATTAAACTTTTTGTTGTGTGTATTGTATTTATGCTTGGTTATCCTGTTTGTAAGTGATCTGCTGGTTGAGCCTATGTATGTTAAGTTATTGTCAGCATTATAATTATAAATTTTTGTTACCTAATTTCTTTAAACAGTGTGAACTTTTTTCATGAAATATGAATAATTTTAATTTCAGGGTAATGGAAAATATTCAGCCAAACCTAATTTTACTGAACGATATAATGACCGCATCAGAGAATCTCCTACAACTAGTAATAGTAGTAATTATGGAAAGACTGAAAGCCCAGATACAAAAAATAGTCCACGTTGTCATAATAAATCTGTATATTCTCAGCGAAGTAAAGAAAGGGAGCATCATGAAACTGGTATGGTTGAGATTTTAGTTATACAAAACAGTACTTTAATTTTAAGAATATAAGTTACACAATGAGACAGTACAATACTAGAATTCTTAAAAATAAATAATGTGTTGAATACATACATTATTTATTTTTTGTCTGTTTTTTCTGTGGTAATTATAGTATAATTTAAATTTTAGATAAAATCTAGCTGATGTAGCTGGCAATGCTCAGATTAGCATAAGAAAACTGAAAACTGTGCATAGTTCTATTAGTAAACATTAAATAGTTGTTTCTGTTTCAGTGTCCAATGAATTTTGTCATAGCTTTTCTTTTGATTCTGTCCTGAATGAAATAAATTTTTGTATCTTTATATAAACTTGTTTCAATGTATTTCACAGATATACAGTAAAACTTCTCTGGAAAAAACTGAGTGAAAAAAATTTTTTGGAAAAAACGATAACTTCTGTAGACAGTCCACGTTAGAAAACAATAGAATGAAAAATGCCAGTTCTGAATAGATTTGTATTTTTACCTCTCATATACATGGTGTGTTCAAAAAGTATCGGACCTTTGGTCGGCAAAAATAAATTTATTGACTTTGAGGTACGAAACCCTAATCCCCTTCAAAGTAGTCTCCTTGGTAATGTATACACTTCTCACAGCGTTCCTGCCATTGCTGGAATGCATCTTTTGGAAACACTGCTGGAATGCATCTTTTGGAATGGCCATCAGTCGGTCCGTCGGATTCCGCACGATGTCTTCTCTCGACTAAATTCGGGTTCCTTTTAGTGGCATTTTCAGCATGGAAAATAGCCAAAAGTCACACGGAGTCATGTGGGGAGAGTACGGAGCGTGACGAACCACAGGAGTGTTATGTTTGGCGACGAAAGCCCGAATCAGATGCGCAGAATGGGCGGATGCGTTATCACGATGGAGCTGCCAAGTTTTGATCGACCACAGATCCAGTCGTTTGCATCGTACTGTATCGGAAAGACGATGAAGGACCTCCTGGTAGTATTCCTTTGCGATGGTTTGGCCTTGTGGTGCGTACTCACGACACACCACCCCACAAGAGTCGAAAAACTGTCAGCATGATCTTTGATATTGCTGCAGACCTGCCGCGCTTTTTTTGGCCTCGAGGATCGTCCCCGAAAGCCTGCTGAATCTTGCGAATGGTTTACGCTTGGGTATTGCCAAGGTTTTTGGCAAAATTTGATGTAGTATCGTGCTCACGTTGTTCAGTCATTTTCCAGCTTAGTGGAATCTGACGAGAGTGCACTACATGACCTCACTCATAGGCCGATTGCCAACGACTGACGCTTTTTGCAGGCGGAAAAAAATTCAGGGCTGTGCATGACTGTCCCCTCCACAACTCCACCGAAGGAGGCCTCTCGTGCATCATTGGTTTATGCGGAAAAAAAAAGGTCCAATACTTTTTGAACAGACCTCATATCATATAAAGAATCTTTGATATTTTTTGTTTTAAACCGCCCATGTAATGCCTTTTAGCAAAATGTTTAATGTAACTAATGTACTTGCAAAACTGTTTGATATTATCTTGTTGAGATAAAATGAGAGGTCCTCTCACTTTTGACTGGAATGTTGTCTGCAAATGGGTATTGGACAGTAGTAGTACTGTCTGAAAATTTCATGAAAATTCAATAATTAGGATCACTTTGGTTAGAATAAATATCAAAATTTGAGTTAGGGAAGTTGAAAGTAACATAAATCAGTGTCAAAACACAAAAATCTTCAACTTGGAGGAAATTCAAATTAAGGAAATTCAAGTTGGAGATGTTAAATCCCTATGATATTTCATTGAAACCTACCAAATGCTTCATTTTCTTTGCGTTACAGATGTTTAAGAAGTTTTACTGTAGTACTTGATTGCTTTTTGTTCTCTTATGTTCTTTAGAATTAAGCACAAAATTGCTATGGAAAACTTATCATAGAGGAACTTTTTTGATGGAAAAGGTGACTTTATTTTCTGTTTTTATGAAATGAAATGGCATTTTAAGCCTTTTTCCCTTATCAGTCCTTAATTTGGGTAATATGATATATGTATTCAATATTTCTTCAAAAACTTTTCTTCTTATAACACAAAATTAATTTGTAATGCACAGTCAATGCACATATTAGCCTTTTTTGTAGTATATTACAATATAATGTAAGCTACAATATACTTTGAGATAGCTTATAATGGGCAGTCAACTTGTTAGCACTTTAAATTGAAGAAACGTTGAAAACAGATGGAAAATAGAGATTTTAAAAATAATTTTAAAATATTCATGTATCTTTAATTTAATGCTTTAAACATAAAATCTAAATTACTGATATTTGGGTGAAAGAACAATGTGATAATTTTGGTGCCTAACACCTAACTTGTCAGATTTTTTAACTCACATGAATAATAACAGCTATGGCTTCACCTCTTAGTTCAGAAAGTCACTACACTACTCACTTTCTGGTTATCCATTTAACACTGCAAAAGCCACATCTTACAGAAAATTTTCATCACTTCCTTTTCATACCAAGTGGAATCATGAAAAGGAGATGAAAACAACACACACTTGTTTAACCTTTAAGGCCTTAATCAAAATGGTTTATATACAATACTCCAACATCAGAACGGAATAAAAGGAGCTGAACTACATTACTCATATTGCCTGGATTTATGAGTGTATGAATAATAATTGAATTGAGGAAAATGACATAATTAATTAATTAAGCCTAACGAAAGTGAAGTTACAAATAAAAGAAAAAGTTTAAAATGATAAATAGTAGTAATACATTTGTAGATACAAAAGTTGTAAGACTGAAAAGGGGTATAAATAAAAAGTACTTGTGAAATGCATATTGAAAACCAAGGTCATATGAAGTAAATCTGTCATCGCTTTACAAAATCAGTTTGATGAGTCTGGAAGAAATGTGAAGAATAAAGACAGACATTTGTTTGTGAATATTAGTGATATATTGATTTTATCTTATGATCTTATAAGATCATAAGATAAAATCAATATATCACTAATATTCACAAACAAATAGCAAAAGCCAACTAGATCAAGATTGCATTAAAAACTACCCCTTTTCTATATATTTCTTACTTAGAAACACTAAAGACTTCATTTATAACAAATACCTTCTTAGATGTACTCCATTTCTGTAGGATAAAAGATTTGGCAAAAAATATGAATACATTGGAACAACAGCACACTTGTTTAATCTCTGTATCAAAGAAAATGAGAATATCAGTAATTTGGCATTTATTAATTATGATAATCGTCAATTCTACTTCTTTCAATAATGATTTTCCTAGTTCTCAGGAAATAGTACTAGTGATAAAAATACTGGAGGTGGTGTTGTATTTCTCACAATTACAGTAGTGCTGTGTCAATAACCAATATATTAAACCAAAAATAATAAATGTTTACAATATTGATATCCCTATTCTAGATCAGTGTTTCCCAACCTGTGATATGAATATCTCGAGTGTTCTATGAAGCGTGCTTTCAAGGAGTATGCAGAAAGAAATTATAATGGCTGTCAATTTTAATTTTAAATCTTTTTTTTTTTTTTTATACTTAAGCAATTCAAAATTTTCTACACTCAAGTCTTTAAAAACTGCTAATTTAAATTTTTATTATATACTGTATAAAGGGTGTTCATAGAAGTATCCGTTTTGATGAAAAATGAAATTGTTGAATGAACTACCATCACAAAAAGCAAAAAACCAGCAAAAATTGTAAAAAAAGTTATGGTTTCGTGACAGTAGTTTGCTAAAAACTGATTAAATTTAACTAGTCACCTTTGTTTCAACAATTTTAAATAATGTTTTATGAAAGAAAAGAATGTTTACCATGTAAATCAACACAATTCGATGTGATCACCTTGCATCTCAAAGTGCTGTTTTCAATGTTCTGTTGTAGCTTAAAAAATATTTAGATGTTGTAATACTGTCAACTGTTATTTGGATATGGTGTTTAATGTCTTGGAAATTAACTTTCATTTGATAAAACTTTGAACTTGATAAATCTCCAAGCAAAGAAATTAAGGGGACTCAGATCAAGTGATTTTACTGCCCATGGTCTTTGCAATCCCCTCTCAATCCACTTTCCAGAAAAGATTATTCATTCAGACACAAGTATCCCTTGATTAATGTGATTAATTAATCTCTTAATGCCACTATGTATATCAATTATGTTAATCAAATACAGTGGTACCTTGGTACTCAACCAAACAATTACTACCCACTAGAACAAATTTTCAGCTAATAACAAATATTTTTATTTTGTCATTTGTAAAAAAATGTTTTTTATGATAAAAATGAGTAACTAATTTAAAAATAAAATGAAATCTTAAAACTGTCTATCTGTCAGACAAATTTATACTTGATCCAGTTTGTTTTTTTTCACTTAGTGTATCACTGACATGATGATTGTATTCTGCATGCATTAAGATTTTTTGCAAGTTTCAGTTATTATTCACTTATCCAAACAATTTTTCATGTGTTTCCAGCACTCGCCTAATACTTTGAACAAGTGTTTTTGGTCTGATTTACAGGCTTATCTCAGGTTAGAAGTCGTACAAGTTATTTGTGAATTTTTAACAATATCTTTCTAAAATTTCTCTACAAAAGCTTTTGGGCACTTGTATGCTTTGTATTTTTTAGTTCAAAATTTCCCAAATGAAACTTTCAAAGCCACATTTGACATGTCCAACATTTAGGAGTACCTAAAATAAAACTACTCCAGAAACTGGGCTATACTATATTGTAAAAAAATTCACTATCTTTATATTCACCAGCTGATTTTTGGAAAAATCAGCTGGTGAATGTTTGAAAAAACTTAAAATGATGTGTAGATGTGTTTGAATGTTTGAAAAAACTTAAAATGATGTGTAGATGTGTTTGAATGTTTGAAAAAACTTAAAATGATGAGATGACAGCCACATCTACAGGCAATGTTTGATGAGCAAAAATATTAACACATACTTATTCATACAATTTTTAGGATTTTTTCAAATATTCAAACTCAATTACCTCAAAAATGTGGTTCTGAGGATTAGCACTATATCCCTGAAGGCTTCAAATATAAATAAATTTGAATACATCTACAACTAAGTAAATGAATGCACAATAATCATTAAACTGTTAAAAATTCAAGTGTGAAGGAATACCAATTAGTTTGAGATTAGGCTAACTTTTTAATTCTGTCCTACAATTAATAACTATCAATCAGTTGTCCTAATGAGGTTGACATGCCAGAAGTAATGAAAAATATAAAGAAATATGTAGTAATTATTAAAATATACAAAAATATGTTGCAAGAATTGATGCAATTCACTACAGAAATTGACAGGAAAGTCAAATATTCATTTCATACATATCGGCAAGAAAAATACATAATAATATATAAGTCCAGGTCTAGTAATATAAATTGGAGGACTGAATTAGGTTAACTATGAGAACAGTAATTATTTCAAATGTAGTTGTAACTTATAAATACAACCAATAAATGATTTTGGATAATTTAGAAAATGCATTTCTCTCTTGTTGCAAGATGATAAACCCTGGGGAGAATGTAAATTTTTAAAATAAACCTTCTAAGGTTTGAGGAAATTACATATATATCAATATAATTTTTTAAGTTTTATTTGTATACCACTGTGCAAAGTTTTAATGTGTAATTCACTTATTAGTTCCAAGCAAATCTCCTCTTCAAAGAGATCGTATTGTCAAAACTGGTGGAAATGGAAAAGATCAACAACTATCTGCTGTCCGAAGAAATACTGAGAGTACTGGAAGTACTCATAGGACTAATCATGATCGGAGTCATTCAGAGGTAATTTATTTTATTTATGTGTTTTTTTAAACTTTACATTATTTATTAAAATTATGACACTTACGTGTTGCGGCGTTATTGACAGCGATTTGTTAAATTTCAGATATGTTCGCTAGTACTTTCAACAGTTTACGACTGTCGTCTTCAGGCGAAATCGAATACCTTTGTTTTCGAATTGATAGCTTTTAACGGACTTTTCAAATTACGTAATGCACGAGATTGGAATGTAGAACAAATTAATAAAATTGAATTAATAAATATTTTTTTAACTTGCTGTAATAACTTGAACTCCCCAAATCATATAAATATTGATTGATGGTGCCGTATAAGGTGACAGACATTCTCACCTTGAATGAAAAATCGGGGGTTTATATAATTCCATTAAAACATACAACATCAGGGGAGGAAATTATGTATATTGGAGCTACCAGCAGAATGATGCGGTCTCGTATCTTTGAACATCAAGAAGATATTAGAAACAACAGACCAGCTACAGAATTAGCGAAAAAGGTTCTAGACCAAAATTATCTTCCACTTTGGAACAACATTAAATTACTTAAGCATTGCAATGATCGTAGACAAATATTTATATGGGAAAACCTGTACATATCTGCTGTTTTGCCGTGCAACGCGCCGACGTTGGAAATACCACAGCTATGGATAACTTTATTTAAACAATCCAAGTTATAATTTTGTGATCTAATTTTATTCTACCACCATATACGGCACCATCAATCAATATTTATATGATTTGGGGAGTTCAAGTTATTACAGCAAGTTACTTTAAAAAAATATTTATTAATTCAATTTTATTAATTTGTTCTACATTCCGATCTCGTGCATTACGTAATTTGAAAAGTCCGTTAAAAGCTATCAATTCGAAAACAAAGGTATTCGATTTCGCCTGAAGACGACAGTCGTAAACTGTTGAAAGTACTAGCGAACATATCTGAAATTTAACAAATCGCTGTCAATAACGCCGCAACACGTAAGTGTCATAATTTTAATTTCTAAAGGCTGGCGTGAAGTGAACTATATTTTCATTTACATTATTTAATTTTAAGCAATGAAAAGTTATTGAAATTGACATTAATTTGGAATTAATATATCTTAAATTAATTGTAAAATGAAATTTTATAGCTTTTTTCAATGAAAGCTTGGATACTAACTTCGATCAGCTGTTAGTTTTAAATAGGTTTCATAAGTCATTACTTCAAATTTGCTAACTAGAAATAGATTTTACTATCTTTGAGATTTGATAAAAATATACATATTTAATAATATATTATCATCTATAGAAAAAATAACTGTATTTTAAATTGATGAAAAATATCATGCTTCAAAACGATTTATATTTTAAAATAAATTAATAATAAATTTAAAATAAATTATTAAATATAGGTATTTAATAAGAACATTTATTAAGATCTTTTAAAATTTGAAATAGAGTACAAACAGATTTTTATCATTTGGCTTAGCTCTATACTTGCCTGCAAACAAGAAATGATAATGGAAAGTAAGACATTAAATAATTGAAGCAGTTAATATATTTTCAAAAATATTTGACTGTTAGCATATTTTAAATTCAGAAAATCCACACAAAGTTTATAAAGAGAGAACTTTTTCTGAATTAAATGTATTTTAGAGTTGTTTTACCCAATCTTTAATGAACAACCTCATATTATACAGGCAGAATCTGCAGGATAATGAGAGAACATCAAACTGATCTTAAAAATTAAGATTCAGTATCAGCTTTGGCAGAGAAAAAGTTTTTCCAAATTAAATGGGATAAAATGTTCTTGATATTAATAAAGACCAGTGCAAACTAGTCAATATCAAAGCACACTGGCCTCCTTAGATGTAAAAAAAAAATTGCCTGAAATTAAGCAGGCAGTTGTAGATTGTCTGCTGATGGACTCAAGATCAGTCTTTTTAATTAAAAGCATATTCAACTTGTTGGATATTTTTGTTCTATGAAATTATTCATAATTTTCTGTTCTTATAGATGATGAATCCAATTTATGTCAGATTCTTATTTTCTTTTTCTCTTAATGATTAAACTATAAATTATTATCAATAAGGAATATATAGTCCAAGCTAAAGGCAGAAGATTCAGTATAAGTCAGTCATTTTGTAAACAAAATACTACATGAAAATTAAAAGATGGTAGTTTATAAAGTGATGTACAAAATACTCATTGTTTCCAACATACACTACCGACTTTTTGCCAAGAAATCACGCAATCCCTGGTAATTATTACCAGTAGTTGAAAGCAAGCAGTCGCATGATTATAAAAGCTAATTTCTGTCTATGTGTCAGAGCAATCACATTGACTAGTTTGCACTGGACTAAAAAGAAAAAATTATGAACTAGAATTGCTGAAGAGCTTATAATTGCCACATTTCAGGATCTAATTTTAAATAAACTAAAAGATTACCGTATTTTACGGACTATAAGACGCACTTTTTCTTTGAAAGATTGCCTCCAAAATTCAGGTGCGTCTTATATAAAAATTAATTTTTATATTAATATAAAATTAATATAAAAATGTCCGGTGTTTGATTTAAAATTGCCGCGTCTTAAAAATGGCCATATATTTGATGCTGTGGGAAACCTCTCTCTATCTGGCAACATTGAATTCAACTGGCAGCAGCAGTGCACCAATGCAACGAACATGAGTTGCGGGGTGTCGGGATAGAATCATCTGGACGTAGGATTCTCGCACTTTTTCTCTTTTCAAACGAGCAACGGTTGTCACCATAGAAACTTGGATCACAAGACAATTGGTAGTTCTGAATCCACGACCGCGGATTGGCCAGCGACCATCGTACGATCAGCGGTTGTCCGATAGCGCTACTAAGCATTGATTGGTGGATCAGCATTTGCTTCAATCTGTATAAAAGGATTGAATTTAGGTGGTAAAAAATGGTAAAAATGTTATTTTTTTTAAAAAATACTTAAAAATTAAGGTGTCTTAATAGTCTGTAAAATACAGCATATGCTTGACCCATGGGTTTTGTTACCAGATAAAAATTAAGACCATTGTCTATTGCCATTAATAAACTAATAATTAAAACAGAAAATCACACAATACTTTCAACATTTATAGAATGTCATCTTCATGCAAAAAGAAATGAATTTTGGAACATTGATAAAATTGGAACATACTTGTTAAATTTAAATGATACTTATCAATTACACATGAAATCCCACATCAGATGGAAAGAAAATTATTCACACAGGGAGTTTTCTTAATATTGAATAGCAAAATGGGTTTTGTTAATATTTCAATAAGATTGTAATTTTGCTTTTAAGATTGTCTTTGTTTAGAAATGTTTCACATTATGTTTCATTTAATATATGATACAAATAAATGAATCTTCCAGGATAAAGAGAAGAGAATTCAAGTGGGTGATTGGTCAGAACACATTAGTTCATCTGGAAAAAAATACTATTACAATTGTAAAACAGAAGTTTCTCAGTGGGAAAAGCCAAAAGAGTGGATTGATTGGGAGAAGTAAGTGTTTTGGTTTTACTTTGATCTTTGTGATTAAACTTAAATTTAATATTTTAAAATAATTTTATATTTGATAATTTATTAAAATTATCAAAAACAATAAAATTTTGGTGTGGATCACATTCATTAAATATATTTATAGAATTAATATTTAATAAAATATCTTAACATTTAATTCTGTTAATTATATAGTTTACTTAAAGATTATATAATAACTAGGGGCAAAACTCCAGGTTGCCTACAGCAGCTCATCTCCCTATTCTTTTTACCACTTGTTCCCAGTATAGACTATTCATAACAGAAATTTTGATATGTATCATATTTTAATGGGTGATTGGCATGCCGCATATAAACGGGGAGACTGGAATGCCCAAAATTTCAGGGTTACCGGCTTGCCAGTTTAACTGCAACTAAAATATAAAATTAATCAGATATGACAAAACTAGTTGTTAAATAAATGTTAAAGAAAACATTCTTCAGAGTACAATAAAATAACAATATTATAACTTTACTGACTTAAAATCAGGAAGAGAATCTTCTTTTACAGGACAAAACAACTAGCAACTTATTTACATTAGTAGTAGTAATAGTAGTAGAAGTAGTCAGTCAGTGTGAGCTACACAGATCATCTACCCTGACCTCAAAAATAACACCTTCCTCTCAAATTTCACACAAAGTGGGTGTTAATCAATGCAAGTTGAGATAATTTGCAGGGAGTTTCTTAAATTTAATATGTTTATTTTTGCATTTTTGAATTCAATTACAATTAAATAAACATAAAAAAGCACTTTTGGGATTCCATGGAGTATTTTACATTGTTGGAAAGAAGATAAAATGAAGAAATTAAATGTATAATTATAGTTTTTGATGTAATGCTGACAGTTTCAGTTTTAGAATAAAAACTTGTTTATTTTTACATGATGTAACTCTCATTTTTTAATATGTTCTCTAAAGAGGGCTACATAACCTAACTTAAACCAACATGTGGTTTTTACCTATGGAGATATAGGATTTTCTGGTCTTCCTCTGATAGACCAACATGCTAGACAATTTGCAAAAATATAGTATATCTTCATATGTCCAATTCCAAATGAAGATTCCATGATTTAAACTAAGTTCAGGGTCATTTTGAAATGAACCTCTACACTCAAATTAATTGGGCAAAACTGTTTGTATTCAAATTACGTAAAAGAACTTTTGTATTTAATTTTGATGGAGAAAATCTGAAAGATCTGTGTGGAACAACCTTCAGATTTAATAACAAATTTTGATAGTGTACCTCAATCCATAAGGTCCATTCTGCACCTCAAAAAAAAAAATCTTTTGCTTTATTTATTTTTTAATTGGTTGAACATTACAATCTTTTTGAACATCCCACAGAAAAATGTTCCAATTCCATAGATACATGGTTTGCTTCACATGCTTATCCCATGGGCTTGGCCTTGGCCCACTTGTTCCCAATATAGACTATTTATAAGAAAAATTTCATATAATTCAACTTCTGTGAGGGGCCAACTTCCACTCCATTCTCTTTTGCTCTACCTCCCACAGAATGGACAGCTCAACTCCACATTTGCTTTGCTCATTTGTTCAAAAATTTTGTGATGATTTATTGATTTTCAATGTCAACATTCTATTTCCTTCCCTGCAACAGAAAGTGTTGTGACAATTTTAAGCTAAATATTTTATATAAGTTATACATTCTTCTAAATGTTCTATATATATTTACAGTGGTACCTCAGGTTACGAACGCCCCAGCATATGAAATTTTCAGGATACGACATGAAATTCGAACATATTTTTACTCCACGATACGAACAAAAACTCACCATACGACGTTACATTAGTTCGCATTTTTCATTTGTTTTTCTTATTACTGTTATTTTTTTTAATGTATTACTTGGCTTTAATTTGAGTATGTTTTTCGCGTTGGAACGAATTATTTGGTTTTACGTGTAATCGTATGGGAAAAGATGATCCACCTTACGACATTTTCATGATACGATCTCAGTTTCGGAACGGATTAATTTCGTATCCTGAGGTACCACTGTAT